CGGGGGGGGGTGGGACTTGTTCTACCTAACAGCAAAACTCCCAAAAAACCCACAATAATGAAAGTGGAGTGGTCCTATAAAGGCTCATATGTTAGTTCCATAGAACAGAACAGAGTCCAGAAACAGACACATGTATACATAATAGAACCCAGCTATTTCTAGGGCCCCATATGGCCCAGTGTATGTACAGAATTATATTCAAAGACAACAGAAATCTGACCAAGGAGGCTGGAACATGAAGATCTTTAGTTTTTCTTAAAAGAGGGTATATTTATGGATTTTACACAATATACCCCCTAAAATGATTTCCAGAAATCCTTTCTAAGTAGCCTTTACTCTCCCCAGTGTTGCAGACTCGTGGCAGCCTCTTAAAAATGCACCGTCTCTCTGACCCCCTGTGGTTTCCTGGCTCGGCCTCCCCCAGCCCACTGGCTCCTCCCCTCACACCCACACCTGCACGTGGCAGCACCCAGTTGCCTTGCCTGTTTGTGACCACTGCCCCAGAGGCAGCCCTTCAGAAGGTAGTTCTTTTCCCAGCTTGGCTGCTTTTCTGGAGATTCTCAGAATTCTGGTGACTAAAATTCCCCAGTAGTCTCCCAGAATTCTGATGAACAAAATTTCCCAACTTCATTTCTTTAGGAATTTATTGTGTCTTAAAGCTGGTATTTTAAGTCACTGGACTAGTCCATATATAGTTTTGGGATTATTGGCTATCCATTTAGAAAAAAACAGGGCCGGCCGAGTGGCTCAGTTGGTTAAGAGCTTGCTCAAGAGTGCGAGCTCTGAGCAACAGCAGTTCGATGCTTGGCCTGAGCTGAGCTGCTGCTGAGATGCCAACAGGTGGCAGGGTGGCTCAGCTAAAAAACAAACAAACAAACAAAAAACAAAAAAACCAAAAAAACCCCAAAGTGATATTTGTATTTTACAAAGTAAACACTTTGTAACTATGTGTGCCAATAGATTAGCATACATATTACTATATTTGAAACGTGTATGTTTGTATATACATAGGAACAGTTAATTACATTTATCTCTAAGATTGGGGTTGAAAGCCTTGAGGGGAGAATTCTATATATTTCTGAATTGTTTTGCATTTTT